AACAGAAATTGAGTAAACCAGAATAGGGCTGTTATTTGTATGCTCTTAATTTTCTCAAACCTTTTTTTTTTTTTTAATAGACCTTTGCATCTTAGTCAGTAGTTTATTTTCCACGTCCATAAACCAAATCCTGGAAAGTATCTTCAGTTTCTCTTTGTCTCATATTGGAACCATTTGTAAGGCCTGCTGGATTTATCTTCAAAATACAATTCAGCCACTTAAAAAACATTTATAGCACCACTGCCATTTTGTTTTGATAAGGGATGTCATTGTTTCTCAGTACTTTTTTTCTAGAAACAATACATGGGCATTTTTGATACTGAAGTTGAACCATCTTTTCTATACTCAAAACTTTTCAAAGATTTCCCATTTCTTAAACTGTACCCAGAAAGTGATATGGTCTTGTATGAACTGGCTTCTTTAATCTATATGCATACTGTACTAGCTTTATGTATCCTACAACTTTTGAGCTCTTAAACCTGGTACTTACCGTCTCTTCCTTCTCTTGGGTTATCCACATCTTTTTTTTCTTTGCATGCTTCAGAACTCTTAGATAATGTCGTGTCAGAGATGTCTTTTCTGAGTAACTTTGTCTAATAGTGATTATGTCCCATCTTCTCAGTTCTTACTATTTATCTTTCTAAGATTTAATATCACTGGAACTTTTGTTTTTTGAGCTCTCATTAGGATGAGAACCTAGTGTTCTGTTGATATTTAACATTTTGACCAAAAGCAGAATGGAAGGGGTTATTTCAGCTTTCAAGTTAATAGGCCACCATTTAAAGAACTTGGAAGTATGGAATAATGCTGCTGCTTGTTGACTCAACTTGCAGACCTAACTTAACCTTACCTACTTTTTTATGCAGTCCAAGACCACTTGCCTAGGGAATAATGTTACCCACAGTGGTCAGGGTCTTCCTATATCAATCATGACAATCCCTCAGGTATACACACTCATGGGCTAGTCTGATCTAGGCAATCCCTCAATTAAGACTCTTATTAGGTCACACTAAGCTATGTTAAGTTCACAACTAAAGCTACCTTGAACACCTAGTGAAGTATATAGTAGTAGTCAATAAATGCCTTATGTGTGAAAGAGTGAAAAATAAATCTGAAAATTTTTAGTGTCTCAGAAGCTATTCTGTCATATATTCTCAGCCCCCGTGAGGATGGTAAATAGTGTGTAATATCTAATATTTGCCATTTGGCAGGTCATTTTCCTCTGTGCACTCCATGCTTTTTTTTTTCCGAGAGAGAGAGAGAGAGAGAGAGAGAGAGAGAGAGAGAGAGAGAGAGAGAGAGAGAGAGAGAGAGAGAAGAGCTGAGCCTTTTAATCAGAGTGAACTCTGGTTTAATGTTGGGTGCATTTACTTTCTTTGTGATGTTTAACATAGGCATATTTCCAAGTATGTAAGTATGTACCAATTAACATCTTTAACTTTTTTTTTTAAATAAAAGAACTCTCTTTAATAATAGGTGGTTCTGTTTTAAAGATTTTCCTTTCTGGGTGTTGGTACATCATACTTTTGGTACATCATACTCTTGGTTCTAGGTCCTTGAACAGGAATTAGCCTTCTGGTATGGAGAAGAAATTTACATTGTCTGACATGTTTATTTTCTTTCCAAAGTCAAATAACTAGAAAAACACCAACTTAAAAAATAGTAAGCCATTGTTACGCTTTTAAAAAGAGAAAGTAGACAATATTGAGTCTGAATTCTGTAGTTTAGAAGATACAACAATAAGTTACAGGGTCATGATCTCACAACTAGTTGATGAATTGGTGTTCAGAAGTGATCTGTACATGGAAGCTTTGGGTATGAGCTGTGATAACTAAGGACCGTAGTATTCTCAGTACGAAGAATACCACCTGCAAGTCTATGCATATACTCAGTATTAGTGGAATGCAGAGGTAAGGTGGTAGGGGATTATGAGGCAGTATTAAAAGTAGAGAGGAGCAGTAGATCGTAGAAGACCATGACATGGATGTTGATTATCTCCTGCTAGAAGTGAGTAGGCAGTATAAAGCACTGAATATGGAAGTGATGTCAGTCACAATCTGTTCATTTTTTAGCTTTATCAAACATAAAACCTATAGCTTCTCTTTTGAATAAGAAGAAATATTACCTTAGTTTACATTAGAAATGGCTGGCTAAATAAGTAAACTGTTTGGTTAAGTCTTCTCAGAAAGTAAGCTGTACTTCGATATCCTCTTTGAGGTGTATCTAGGGAAAGGATTTCAGTCTTCATGTGAATTGTAAATTTTATTCATTTATGTTTTCTTCTTATCAAGAGATTTTAGGGAACATTAGAGAGACTAGTTTACCTTTAGCATATAGACTTTATTTGCTGTTAGTATGATTTAATGTTAGGAGAAATAAATGAAAATAAAAGATGCTCTTTCAAGTTAATGAAAAGCAGAACCTTTTTATTCACAAGGTCTTCTATTTGTTTTCTAACTGTAGTCTCTTGCATCAGATAATTATGAAGATTAATTAGCAATGTCAATACAAGAGCAGTTAAAATCATACCGTAAAGGGAGTAAGAGGTGGTTCATTGTAGAGCCAAATAGAAGTCACCATATAGAAAATAGAAAATGTGAAGTTTTAGGCCACCCTAAATAACAGGTTCTAACTTGTCTTGGTAATGTTTTCATTAAGTATGTGTGTGGTTTGTTTCTTTTTTGTTTTGGGCACATTTAATATTTATTCCACAAACTTTGTAGATAATGTGTATATTGGATGCACATTCTACTCCCAAACAACAAAAACCTAACTAAACAATGAACAACAAAACCTTACAGGTATCAGATCTCAAGTTCTGTATTGTTATTTCATGTTGTGTATTTCTCTTATTGAAAGAAACTTCATTTGAAATGAAAAAAATGAATTTTACAGGTGGTTTTGTGTGCAAATAATTGGGAAAGTAAGACATGGTAACTAAATTACTTCATATATATACATATATATATATATAATTTATTTATTAATGAAGCATATTTTTGAGCAGGGGCTTAAGATTTTTCTTCATATGTAAGTTCTATTTCTTTTTTACTTAATTCTATTTTTTGAGATTATAATATATTAATTCATCATTTTCTACTTTCCTCTCTCTAAATGACTCCATACATACTTGCCCTACGGCTTCTTTTTTTTCATTAGTAGTTGTTACATACATATGCATTTATGCATTTTATGTAAATCTGGTACTTTCAAACACATTAATAGAAATGTCACAAAAGCACTCGGGAGGCATGAGGCAGGTGGATCACTGTGAGTTCGAGACTAGCCTGGTCTACAAGAGCTAGTTCCAGGACAGCCTCCAAAGCCACAGGGAAACCCTGTCCCAAAAAACCAAAAAAAAGAAAAAAGAAAAAAAAAGAAATGTCACAAAAGTGGGTTACAGCAAAATGGGGAACACTCACTCTGCTATCCGTTTCAAGTGCTATCTAAATGACATTATTAACTTTTAGTTTGGTGGAAGTTAGGATCTATTAACATCCCAGTGATTTTACCCAAATAGTTAATAGGATGTTAGGTAATTTACAGAAATGGGTAATCAATAGCTGTTGAAGCGCCAAAGATATCTCAGGATATGGTGACTGTGGATTTGCATCATTCCTACTCTCCAGAATTAGAAAGTTCTTATCACTCAACTTTGTCTGTAGACTTAGACTTGACCCCATTTCTGGAATCCTTCGTTTGCAATGCACCTATGTAATCTTTTCTTAAAATTTTATTTTTATTTTATGTCAGAAACACAGGTGAACAAATTTGTGTTTTTACAATGTTAGAATTTATTAACACCAAATTCAAAAGGTGTGATTGTTTTGGTGATAGCAATGTGCCAGCTATATTGCTTTCTTTAACATCTGACTAAGGAAAACACAGGTTAATTTATTCCAGTTTACAAATATCAAACTGTTCATCACATAACATGTATGTGTGTATGCACTAACATATGTGTATGTATGTATTTATGTAAGATATAGAGTGAGCCATAAAGAATTCCAAAGGTTTCAGAAGCCTGAGAAACAAAATACTATTCTATTGTGACATCTTCATGTATACACACAATTTATTTATAATTCACCTTCCCAATCCTATATGCTTTTGGGGGGATTATTATTATTATTTGATCCTTTTTCAAAATATATCTTGATGATATTCACCTTTCCCATAAATCTTTCAGGGTCCACCTTTCCAATCCCCTAACTGTATATGAGCTTTATTTTTTATTAGCCCATCAAGTATAATTTGTATTGTCCATATAATCTTGGATCTGTGGTCTCCCATTAGAGCATGGTTACTTTTAAAGACAGCTATTTCCCCCAGCTATCAGTTGCCAATAGCACCTCAGCTAGGGGTGAGGCTTCATGCTCACCTCTCTCTTCCAGGCTGGGGTTTTGTCTGGTTTGAGCTCTCATAGGTCTTCTGCATGCTGTCAAAACTGCTGTGAGTTCAAATATATACCTGGCCAGCTGTCTTTGGCAAACATACTCCTTTTAGTCATTTACTACTTTGTACTGTTAAAGTCTTTCCACCCCCTGTTTTGAAATGATCTCTGAGCCTTAGGAGTGGTTAAATATATGGGATGTAGATAGCCAATAGGATCCTCAGCTTGTTCTTTCTCCACAGTTGTGTTAATCAACATTTAATGAAGAACAAAGCTGTTCTTATGAGGGTTGAAAGATGAAGTGATCAATGATAAGTTATTAGGTGTTAGCTTAATACTTTAGCCATTAGGCAGAATAATAGTAGGTTCTGGCCCAGGACCTATGACCTGTCTAGCCACAGATTCTTAACTCTGGTACTAGGTAGGCTAGGTATATGTTTCACTTTGTGTTGAAGACCTTGAAGGCAATCAGAAATGATTGATTATTCTCATGACATTTGTGCCACTATTGCAACAGGGGGCTTGTCTTGCCAAACTAGTTGTTATTGAAGCTCTCAGCATTCAGAACTGGGTATGATTGATGATTATTCTTTTTCTCCTTTGGTAGCCTGCATAGGACTGTCAAGATGCTGGTCAGTAGTGGGGATCAAGCGTCCATGTGAGTTTAGCTTGATTTTTCCATTTTCTGACTAAAGTATGTGGTGTTTTCAGCAGTAGTGTCTTACCATCGAGTTATGGGGTTAATAAAAAACATTGGCAATAAATAGCTTGTAATGTTGGAAACAGGTAATCTATGGGATCTTACTGGTCAGCTACAAAGATGTGACCTACCCCTCTAACTGGGATCTTTATTTGAACTTACTTAAACTCCATTTAAACTTGTTTTGTTTTATAACTTGCTTGTTTCTAGTGTATAATTGAAAATTATCACCTCCTCAAATCCTCTGTTTACAACTTTATGGACCCTCCTATTCCTTTCCAACTGTCTCTAAGATTACTGTTTTGTTTTGTTTTTTTTTTTTTTTCTCCTTCATTCCCCCATTTAATCCAGTTTTGTATTGTCTACCTAATCTTGGGATTGGGGTCTTCTCTAGTTTGTAGGCAGACTGTCAGGGGCCTAGGATACTAATAGCTCCTCAGCTAGTGGTGGGATGACATGTCTAACTACCCTCTGCTGGGATTTTGGCTGGCTGGAGCTTAGGCATGCTATCATAATGTCATAATGACTGTAAGCCATTATGTGTATCTACTATGTTGTATCTTGGAAAAACACACTTGAAGTTGTCTACTACCTGTTACTCTGACCATCTTTCTAGTCCCTCTTCCAAAAGATCCCTGAGCTTTTGGGTGAGATGAATGCTTAATTTGGGACTGAGCACTCTGCAGTTTTTCTTTTTTTGCAGTGCATATGTGTTTGGGGGTTGGGGGAATCTCTGCTAATTGCCATTTCTTGCAGAGCAAAGCTTCTCTGATGAGGGCTGAGAGATACTCTTTGTCATTGGATATAGCAACAAGTCATTAGGAGTTATTTTAATACTACGTTGTTAGCAGAGCAATGGTATTGGGTTGTACCTTAGGACCTTATCTAACCACAGGTTCTAGGGTCCCTTAATAGTTCCTTTAATAATTTCTATAGTGGTTGTATCAATTTGCACTCCAACCAGCAGTGAATGAGTATTGCCTTTTTCCTACATTCACTCCAACATCTCTTGTTTTTTTGAATTTAGCTAATGTGACTAAAGTAGGATGAAATGTCAATGTTTTAATTTGTGTTTTCTGATGGCTAAAGATGTTCAGCCCTTCAAAAAATATTTCTCAGACTTTAGTATTTCATCTTTTGAGAATTCTAATTAGATTTATGCCCTGTTTTTTAAATTGGATTATTTTCTTGATGTTTACTCTTTTCTTTCTCTTTGTAGAGAGCAAACCTGTGTTGAATATATAGCTACAACCATTCTGTAGTCTGCTTCTTTGCAGGAATTGTTTGCTGTATGGAATGTTTTTAGTTTCATTTAATTAATTGTTGGTCTTATTGCCATTGCTACTGGAGTTCTTATGAGTGTATTTTCTGAGTTCTCTGTTAGATTCAGGCTATATCAGGGTTCTTGATTCTTTTGGATGAGAGATAAGGATCGATTTTCATTCTCACACATGGAGCTATCCAGTTTGACTGGCACCATTTTGTTGAAGATAATGTCTTCTCTAGTATGTAGTTTTGGCTTCTTTCAAAAATCAGGTAGCTTTGGCTTTGTAGTCTTATTCTGGATCCTTACTTGTATTTCATTCAGTTACTTTTCTGTCTTTTTGCTGTTTTTATAACTGAAGCTTTGTAGTATAACTTAAAATCGTAGATGATGATTCATCATCCATCAGTTATTTTACTGTTCAGGATTGTATTTCTATTTGTGTGTTGTCAAATGAAATTTAATATTTTTCAATTCCTATGGGAAATTGAGCTGTAATTTTGATGTGTATGTGTTGTGTCTGTAAATTGGTTTAGGTAGTGTGACCATTTTTCACAACATTTATCATACCAATCCTGAGCATGGGTGGTGTTTCCATTGTTTGGTGTCTTCAATGTCTAATTTCTTTTAAGTTTTAATTATATAAGTGTCTTACTTCCTTAGTTAGATTTATTGCAAGGTATTTTTTCAGGCTGTTGTTTCCCTGATTTCTTTCTCTTTGTGTTTATTATTTGTATATAGAACTTTGCCACTGAGTTTTGTGTGTTTTTCTTTTTTATTTATTTTATTTTATTTTATTTTTATTTTTTTTTGGTCTTGCTACTTTGGTAAATGTATTTATCATCTGTAGGAGTTTTCTGGTGGTCTTATGATGTGATATTTACCTATTTGTTTTTTGAATAGGACAATATTATTGTAAATAAAGATAATTTGACTTCTTGGAATACCTATTGGTATTCCCTTTATTTATGCCCCACATTTTAATACTTTAGCCAAGACTTGCAAGTATTATTTAAATAGAATAGCAAGAGTGAACATCCTTGTCTTGTTCCTATTGTGGAAATGTTCTGAGTTGTTTTTTTTTTTTCCCCATCTATTTTCATCATTTTTGTCATGAGTTTTTTCTGTTTTTCCTTTATTATGTTACTATATGTCCTCTGTATCCTTAGCTTCTCTAGGACATTTATCATGAAGGAACGGTGGATTTTGTCAAAAGCCTTCTCTGCATCTGGTGGGGTGATGATATATGGTTTCTAATTTGGGGTCTGTTTATGTGTTGAATTACATTAATTGATTTATGTATGTTGAACCATCCTCATATCTCTATTATGAAGCCTATTTGATTGTGGTATCTTCTGTAAAGCTGACTTTTGTGCTTATACATTTATTACATCTGATTTTATCATGGAAACTTTCCTTTGATTATGAATGACTTGCTGGATATAGTAGCTTGGGCTGCATATTTAGATGTTGAAGAACATTAGTCCATGTTCTTTCAAAGTCAGGTGCTATTCTGATGGGACTGTGATGTTACTTGTTCTTTCTCTATTGCTGATCTCAATATTCTGCCTTTGTTCTATACATTTAGTGTTTTGATTATTTGATGTGAAAAAATACCTTTCTGTTCTTATATGGTGTTCTGTGTGCCTCCTGCACCCTAATGGACATCTCTTTAGATTTTGGAAAATTTCATCTATGATTTTATTGAAAACATTTTTTGTGCCTTTGATTTGTATTTCTTCTTGTATAACTTATTTTCAGATTTGTTTTATTTATAGTGTCTTTTATATCCTGCATGCTAAGTTCTGTAAATTTTTAAGATTTAGCATTTTCCTTGACTGACTAATCCATTTTCTCTACCTTGTCCTCTGACCTGATATTCTATCTTCTATATGATCCAGTCTCTTGGTGATACTTTCATCTGAGGTCCTTTGGTTGATTTCCTGAATTCTGAATGTCCAGTGGTGTTTCATTTTGACTTTTCTTTAGGAATGCAATAGTTTTATTAAATATTATTTTTTTACATCTTGAATTTTCACAGTTCTCATTCAGGTATTTGTTCACATTGTCTTTGAGTTCTTTGAATAATAATTGGTGTTTGAAGTCATTTTTCTGTACTTTATCATGTTGTTTTTCTCAGAGATCGGTATACTGCAGGTGCTAATTTCTAGAGACATTGTCTTATTCATGTTTGTATTTTTGTAATTGGATGAAGGTATCTAGAATTAGGTCTTTGATAGTTGTGGACAGCTAGTCTCCCTTTCATTGTGTGGTTGTTTTGTCCCTTGTTTGGTATTACCATAAATACCAGCTGAATAGTGCTTGGTATTTAATCTTGGGGAAACTGCTTTGGGTTTTGAATGGGGTGTCTAAATGGACTCATCTCGTTGATCCTTTCTGATCAGGCCATGTAATGCAATGCCTTGGGTGGTGAGTGAGGCAAATGGAAGGGAAATTGGATTTGGCTTACCTAGAGTTTCTGAGGTTCTTTGTGTGGGATCTACTAACATTTTAGGAGGCAGAAGCTACTTGGTGTGGGTCCAAGGCAGAGATGTTGTGGGGCTATTCATTTAAACTCCTTTGTCTGTGTGCATATATAATTTAGGGAGTCTATAGTAGGAGGTCATTATATAACTTGCAAGGTCTTCAGGGTTAAGTTACCCCTCTCTATTGTCCCTCCCCTACCCTACTCGCTCATCTCTTACCCCAGTTTAACCTTTTCTAGTTCCATTATTCCGCCTTGATTTTTAAATATCATTTCATGCAGTCTACTGTCCTGTGAAGGTCATCACCCAACCGCCATAGCCCCAAGGTAATTTCCCCACCTCTCTGAATATCCAAAATGAAATGCACATATCTAAAGATTAAAAGCTGACATCTACAGATGAGAGAATATATGTGACATTTGACTTTCTGGGTCCGAGTTATGTCACTCAGAATGATTGTTTCTAGCTCCATCCATTTACTCATAATTTTGTTTTTCTTAACATCGGATTTAATATTCCTTGCTGTAAAAGTATCACATTTTTATTTATCCATTCATAAGTTGATGGACATCTAATTTATTTTATGCCCTTGTTGTTAGGAGTATAGCAGAATGAACATGGATAAGATGTATGTCTACAGTAAGATATAGTCTTTTGGGTACCCAAGAGTGTATGTGTAGCCGGATCGAATAGTAGCTCTATTTTTATCCTTTTGAGGAACTTGCATACCGATTTCCATAGTGGTTCTATCAGTTTTTCATTCCTAGAAGTAAATGTTCCCCTTGTCCTACATCCATATCAACATTTATTGTCGTTTTTTTGTTTGTTTGTTTTGTTTTGTTTTTCGAGACAGGGTTTCTCTGTGTAGCTTTCGAGCCTATACTGGCACTAGCTCTGGAGACCAGGCTGGCCTGAACTCACAGAGATCCGCCTGCCTCTGCCTCCAGAGTGCTGGTATTAGACTTTTTTTTTTTTTTAACATTAGCTATTCTGACTGGGTTTATGGAATCTTAAGGAAGTTTTCATAAGCATTGTTTTTTTAAGGGTGCTGGACATTTTAAAAGGTGTCTTTCAGCCATTTGTATTCTGTTTAATTCTTTATCCTGTTTTTTAATTGGGTTGTTTTCTTGGTGCTTGGTTTTATGAGTTGTGTATATATTCCAGATAAAAGTGCTTGATCGGCTGTATAGCTGGGTAAAGGTTTTTCC